TGCAATTATTTATATCTTTGGCTTTTTTTCTTTTGTGTTTACAAAGTTAGCCTTTTTACTTGAGCTTAGGTTCTTCTAAGGGCATAATGGCAGGTGGCCTCTCCTTTTTGCCTTCCCTAGTATCATGGAAGTCTTTTCACAGGAAAATAAGGATCTCTCTGGGTGGCTTTACAAATCTGTAATAGCCACACTGTTTTGTACTCCAACTGATAAAGATGTTGGATATTGGAAATAATTTTCTTTATGTGAAGTTTGAAAACTATCTCCACACAGTTCCATACAGGTAGTCTTCATGTGAGCTTGATGCTACTTAAAACATTTTTCCTTTATAATCAAATCCTGATGAAGGGGAAAGCCTCTTTCCATGGTTCATGGAGAAGGGTAGTAACTTACATCTCCAAATAAGTTGTTACATGTATGTAGATAGTTCTTTTTGTAAAATTGAAAAGGTATAAAAGCATTATATTTTGCTTTGAAACTTAAGGGTTAATGGAGAAGGTAGAAATAACAGGTTATTTGTAGAGCCTTAAAAGAGATGTTATCTGCTTTGTGTCCTGGGAGGCAAAACAAAAAATAGTGTTTAATAAAAGCTAGATGTTAAAGCAGCATTTCAAGAATGTGTACAGTAACTGGTGTTACTGTGAATCACTCTATCATTCACCAGAATTGGTGGAAACTCTACTTACTCTGTAGCTAGTAAGCATACAAGGATAGGATTTAGTGGCTTCATGTCAATCTAGCAACATAATAGAATTGTTCTGAAGTTCAGTTTGCCCTGTAAATAATACTAAGTCAGTATTTCACCAGCCACAGCTAAAATTAAATTTGATGACAGCTTGGTACTTAAAATGGGTTATGGGCTCAGTTTTACTATGTGTAAGAATGGGGCTGAGAATGATGACTTTTATTTACCAAGTCCTTTTTATGGGAATTAAATAAAAAACTAAGTGGAGAGGAGGTGCTGATAGATTTTTAAAACTTTATTAGATTTTTTCCCCCTATGTAACAGTCTAGTAGTCTGGATCTACAGTCAAAGACCGGGTTGCTTGTTACTGGTTGCTTTACCATTATTCTCCATTTACAATCGATTCTGTTGCTCACTGATTATATCTGACAGGAAGGAGAGAAAATTGTTGAGCATGTTCTTTTCCTTTGAGGACATTTTTCATATGTTGTGTATTTTATTATATTTTGTTGTGCATTATTTGGTCAAAAGTTAGCCCTACATAAAGTGCCTTCTGATTTTTGGGTTGCACACTTTTAGCTCCCTAATCTGAACATAGGCCCTCAAAAATCAGAACTAAAGTTTGTAGGGAATAGTTCTCAAGACTGACCCCAATGGGAATGTAACAGTTCTAATGAAGAACTTTGAGGACAAAATCCTCAAAAAACTTAAAGCATCTTAAAGATGCATATATAATCATAATTGTAGGGAAGGTGCAAAACGCTGATACTTGGTTGTATCTTTTAACAGGCATGTCATGTTACCCAGAGAACTTTCCAAACAAGTACCTAAAACCCATCTGATGTCTGAAGAAGAGTGGAGGAGACTTGGCGTCCAACAGAGTCTAGGCTGGGTTCATTACATGATTCATGAGCCAGGTAAGTTTGGCTATAGTAAAGTATTAACTGAATCAAAACACTAATGGTTATGGTTGGGGAAATTTTTATAGTGACCTTGACATTTATTCAGTGATACTCAAAGGTAATTCTGTGCTAAGTTTTGCTGTTTTTTTAAAAGACTGATTTCTTAATTTTCTGGAGAGGGTTCTAATTGCATTGTAAACAAAGTACCACAGGAGTGAAAGTAATGCATTATTCTACCTGTAAAAACAACTTCATAGCTATTCTGTTTTAAAGTTTGCCATTGTTAGTAAGTAGTATCCCAAAGCATTTTGCCATATGTGTAACTAGAATTCCAATGAATCTACCATATTAAGGTTTAATTAAATGAGATAACATAGTCTATGAACTCAAATGTGCTGCTGGATCATGTATGTGTGTGAAGGTCTTAGGCTATTATGTGGTATTAACCAAAAGTTTTCCAGATACCAGATAGCAAAATTTTTGGATTATCAGTAAATCTAACTAAAAGTACTTATAATCGTAAATCTAACTAAAAGTACTTATAATCGTTTCAACAAATTCAAAGACAAGCTGTATAAGCTAAAGTAGATGGAAATAAAGCTACCTTGCTTTTTACTACTTTTTAAGAAATATCAGAAATTATAACTCGGGGTTAGGTATCATAGTCATAATTAAAATTCTAATGGTCTTTTTTTAGATCATACAAGAGCAACTGAGGAGCCTAATTGTAGGTTCCTGGGTCCCATCCACTGTGAAACAGTTTATGGGGATGTGCTCATTAGTGTGAGATGTAGTAGGTGATGTGGGTAAGGTGTCTTTCCCCACAGAGATGAACTTTCTCTTTTACTTATTCCTTTTCTTCAGAATGGGTATAATTAAAGTATTGGAATTGTTTTCATTATCGAATTTCTTGTTTAATGTTGACAGTGACTTTGAAGCAAAATTCATTTAAGATATTTTTGTTGAGTATATGAAACTCACCATACTATATTAACATGATATAAAACATTTTCTTTCCACAGAACCGCATATTCTTCTCTTTAGACGACCTCTTCCAAAAGATCAACAAAAATGAAGTATATCTGGGATCGTCAATTGAATCTTTTTCAAAATTTAATGTATATGTGTATATAAGGTAGTATTCAGTGAATACTTGAAAAATGTACAAATCATTCATCCATACCTGTGCATGAGCTGTATTATTCACAGCAACAGAGCTCAGTTAAATGCAACTGCAAGTAGGTTACTGTAGGATGTTTAAGATAAAATTTCTTCTAGTCAGTTTTTTCTCTTAATATAAGTGCCTGTTTGACTTGTTACTATTGTTAATAAAGTTTGTATGTTGCATTTACCACCGTTTGAAGTTGAAGTTACTGAGGTCTGTTTTCTTATGTTAATTTGTGACTGTTGAGATTGTTTGATTTCAGTTTTATAATTTTAGCCCTGAGGAAATAAATAAAATGTTGAATGAATTTATAATAGCTTGGTGTGATGGAGGTACCATTTAATTAACATAGGAAGAAACTAAGAACCAGGGATATTTAAATTGGAGCCAAAGTAGATTTTACCTCTTTATTGCTTAATTCGTAAGGAATTATCTAATAATTAAAACAGAGAAAGCCCACCGTAATACTATGTGGGCTACTTCCACTTATCTAAGAACTGCTACTGAATTGTACTGGTCTTGGGAGAAACCCTTTAACCCTTTTCTCCATTTCTTAAATGGGGACAGTGTTTTTTCTATAGCATTTTAAATTCAAAAGTACTATAAAATACTTTCATATGCCATTTTGCATGTGTTTAGATTGCCTATTCAATTAGCTGCTAGCAAAATGTTAAATGTAGATACAGGTTACAACTAGAAAAACGTCTGCTATACTAGAGAAATATCGTAAATGAGCAGCCAGTAAACATAATAACCTTAACACCCTTTCTAAACATAAGGAGCACCTGACCCCATCCCACGACTTTATTTCCCTGTGTTGCACACCCTCTATAAGTCTTACAGATCTAGATCACCTACAAGACTATTGGTGTCCTCAATTTCCAGAAACTGAAGGTTTAGTTAGAATTAACCACTGAAAGGAATTACATTTCAAAATTGCTGTTTCTTTCCAACATCAACCATGTGCTAGGACATTAAACATGTTCTAGGTACTGAAGGTACTATGGTACTGAAGATAGTTATGATAGTTATGAAGATACTGAAGGTAGTTATGAGCAGCAGTCTAGCATCTACTCCCAATCCCCACTGTCATCACCACAGGACACATCTGGAGAGATCTCCAGTCATGATCCAAGACAAAAATGCCAAAATTAAGTAAACTTAATCACATTCTTAGAGTAAATCCTATCAATAGTGCTGAGAGGGAGGGGTGATGGCCACTCCTTAAACCTTCAGCAGATGCTTGGGAAACCTAGACTTCTGGTGCTGGAGGTTGGGTGTATTAGTAAACATGTGGGACCCACAAAGACTGAAATGTGCGGAAGAACTGGAGCTCCTGCCTGCATTTACTGCATATAATACCTGGTAGGGTTACTCAGTCTGCATGGGACATAACATAACTTGCCTCAACCAACCCTCTTCTGGTAAACGGCATATATTACTCGCAAACATTTTCTGTTCCTCAAATCTTGCACCTTCAAGTTTATGAGCCAAAGCAAAGTTCATCTCTTGAGATCTACTGTGTCATCTTCCAGTTACCTATTGGTTAGCCTCCTATCCTTGATGTATCTTAGACATTTCTCAGTATTTAGTGAGTTCTCCCCTCCTGTAGAGCATTTTCCCACCCACGGAAATAATACTCTTTTACGTCTGACCAGAGATAAGTTTAAATTACAGCCAAAGTAGATTTTACCACTTTAATCCTAGAACATGTTTAATGTCCTAGCACATGGTTGATGTTGGAAAGAAATAGCAATTTTGAAATGTAATTCCTTTCAGTGGTTAATTCTAACTAAACCTTCAGTTTCTGGAAATTGAGGACACCAATAGTCTTGTAGGTGATCTAGACCTGTAAGACTTAGAGGGTGTGCAACACAGGGAAATAAAGTCGTGGGATGGGGTCAGGTAGCGTTAAGTCCCCACAGTTCCCTTACCAGTAAACCTTCCTCTTTAAACAGTCCCTTCAATGAGTACTTTCCAGGCCCCCTTGTTCAAGGAGCCTTCCTATCTAATGCCAGGTCCAGAGCCAATGAGTAAACCACGGCCTCAGCTTGTAGCAGCTACTGCCTCTGCAGAATTTATGTCGGATAGCCTCACATCTCCGTCAGACGGGAGGTTCCGTAACCTGCGCTGAGGTCCCAGCCCAGACGACTCTGGGTCGTTTCCCCTGTAACCACAAGCGGCTTGCGACGGCCAGGGCCAATGCCGGAAGGAGGGACAGGCCCCGTCGCGTTTCTGTGACGCACTTCCTAGCGTCCTCTGCAAAGGCGGAAACGCTGCGTCGTCTGTCCGGTCAGCCGGCGGGCTGGCTGCTGGCCTCTCCCGGCGCGGCCTCCTCCGAGCCGCCCGCTATGGCGTCGGAGGGGCCGCGGGAGCCCAAAGGCGAGGTAAGGGCTGCCAGGGCCGGCAGGCGCTCCCTCGGTGGGCTCAGCCCGTCGGCCCGGCTCGCCCCGGGGGTCTCGGTTGTGCGTTGACTGAGCCGCCGGCGGCCTAGGGCCGGAGGCGCAGGAGCGCGGATGGGCGGCCGCGATCCCCGCGCTCCGCCCCGGGCCCGCCTGAGGGCGGTGGTCTGGGCCCGCAGACCCCGCCCATGGATAGTCCTGTGTCTAGGGTGTGGTGCCACCCAGGCAACTGACGGTTGTCCTGCCCCAGCACGCCCAACAGTCAGGACAGGGTGCGTCTGCCCAGGTGGCCGCGCTCTCAGGAAGGAATAGCTTGTTCAAAGCATCTTGAGTTTCCTTAAACGTCGTCTCCGTGCTGCATACTCAACATAACCACTAGGTGGAGCCCTGGCAGTCGCATCCCGTAGTTTTAGACTAGTTAGAAACCTTGGTTATGAAATTTAGTGAGAGCAAATTTCTTACTACGTACCTTAAAAAAGAAAAAAAATCGAATCCAAAGGCTTATAGCGATAGTATTTCTTAGGAAAGTAAGCTTTTGTTTTTTCAAAACAACAATGAAACAATACGGTAATTCATGAGTAAAAAGCAAATGTTTTTGTGCAGCGTTTTTTGAGAAAAATTAATGGAAATAAACTTATGCAGTGTGTTTTGAGTGCTGTAAATGCTCCGAGTCTGTATTTGACCGTCCTAATTCTGCAGTTCTTACTTATTCCTAACTAAAGCTGAGAGAGGTAAAATAACCTATTTTAAATTTTAACTTGTGAAAATGGCAATTGTGGCCCTTAACTGTAAGATCTAGGTTGAATTTTGTTGCCACTGTAGTCGGTTGTCCTTGTTTTCTACTGTTAACATTTGGATGACTGGTTTTCTTAAACATTTCAGAGAAATTGTTAGCAACCAAAAGTCTTGTCTTTACTAGGCAGAAGTTTTTATACAACATCGGGAGTAGCATTTCTGGGGGCTGTTAGACTGAAACATCTGTCTTGGGGTGGTTTACTTTTGGTTGAGCTCTGAATGTTTGTAGCCAAACCCTCATTTTTCCCCCCAGGGCATCAAGTTATCAGCAGATGTCAAACCGTTTGTCCCCAAATTTTCTGGGCTAAATGTGGCGTGGTCAGAGTCTTCAGAAGCATGCGTCTTTCCTAGCTGTGCAGCCACATACTATCCTTTTGTTCAGGAACGACCAGTGACAGGGTATGTATGTTTATAAACACCTTACCAGGGGGCTTATGTCTTGCCTTTAATGTCTATTAGCTTTCAGACATGTTAGCAAAGTAAAGTTATGCAGATGGCAAGAGAATGCACTTCAGCCAAGAATGGTGTAAGCCAGTAGTATTACAGTTTAACTGTACTGTGCCAGAAACTCAAACTTTTTAACTCCCCTTTTTTCCTCCACACTCCTTCTGTATTCTGGGCAAAGAAAGGGGAGAGAGGCTCGGGGCCTATAGCTCAACCGGCTAAGGCGCC